AACTTTAAATGTGGTCAAATGATCTGCAAGTTTGACCAGAATTATGAACGATGGATTCTATTAATCAGGTGATGCAGTTCGGGCCGATCCGATTGGTAATTCAAACCTGGATTATAAAGCTGGCCAGAATTATGAAAATTGCACTGCGCAGCCTCAAAAAATGCGCAGTGAAATAATGCGCAGGCTGCACAGTGTCCCATCTCTAGTTATAGGTAAAATTGATCTCCAAGCATTTTTTATTTGTGCTTCAAAAGAGGTTTAAGCACTATTTTCTGTTGTTTTTAAAAAACGGTTCGGTAATATTAGTGCGGATTACCTTTTTTGCATAATGTAATTTGATTGGTTAATTATCACGGGTGATCGTCAATCAGATATAAACACGCGAGAGACAAGCTGTCAAGCAAACGTTCTTTGGTTTGCACGCCCAAAAACCTCCCTCTAACTAAAATTTGAATCTACTACTTTTTGCTATATTTTGGGTATCTAATCCTAATTTTTATGTGTAAACTATTAAAGACATACAGTATATGTGGTGTCAGCACCACTGGCGTGATTTAGTATAACTGTAGCCTTTAAAGTTTATATTTTTATGATTTAATATAAATTTTATTTTTTGTTAATTGGCTCCTTTTCTCAGCATCTAGCCCATATTATGGATCTAGAAAGATTTTTTCAAAGCCGGAACAATAATTATGATCACTCACTTTTTGTGTTTCAAAAGTGTTATAAAGAACTGCATCAAACATTTCTTAGTTCAATTATGATATAATAGTCTAAGCATGTTATATTATAATATTGAAGCATTTTTCTAAAAAAAAAAAAAAGGGTAAACTTTCGTCGAAAAAAGGTTAATAGGGATCCTACTAATATTTTGTCAGCAACATATAATAGTGAAAAATTATTAAAGTATACCGATACATGTCAAAAAATTCAAATATTTATATATATAACAGAAACTAAAATGTTCATAAGGCATTGAACAATAAATTGATGTTTTATATGCGATGTCCAAATGTAAAATGGACCAGATGTTGCATTAATGTTTGGATTTGCTGTTAGTTGAATTATTACATTGTATGAAGCCTCTGTTGACCATGTTTCTTCTATTTTGTAAGTTAGTTCTGAAGGGTATAATGGCTTTGGTTTTACAAGTAGATGGTAAGTTATTTATGATATTGAAATAATAGTAAAAATAATATAATGAGAAGGTATGTAACTTACTGTCATTTTGTTAAATACAACTTCTGATGTTCCGTTACGGTAGGTAGCTGTAATTATTACGTAAATTTCCGCTTGGATTTTAAAAGAATCATAAGCTAAATTGTTTTTTTTTTTTTTTTTAGCAAAAAAAAAAAAATAAACATTTACGATTTGGAGTGACTGGATAATCCCATACGATAGTCTCATTTGAACCAAGTGGATAATAATTTCCAGTCTTTGGTTGAATGATTTGAAAACCAGTATTTGGTAGAGAACTTCGGTTGCTAGAAAAAAGCTCATAAGTCGGTTGTATAAATCTTGAACATGTTATTAACATAGATGTGAATTGTAATGTCAATATTAAAAAAGAAATAGGTTTTATTATTGAACGCATTCTCATTTATTTTTCTGATTAATGTAAAGTTATGGTTCAAATATTAAGAATACTATGTCAAAGAGTTTAAAGAGATCTAGAAACAAAATAATTGACTTTTAAATGAAAAGATAGCTGCTATCGAACCTAATAAAAAAAATTTTTTTTTTTAAAAAAAACATATAGTTTTGATTCTAGAAACGTGTGACTATTAAAAAAACATTTCGTGGTTTTTCACGATTTAATGTTATCTTTGAGTCCGATTTTATGTTCTAACGTGCTTTTTTTTTAAAGGTACCAACAAATATTCGACAAATAAGTGCCCAGCCTTTCTAATTTTCAAGCTATGAATGATACAAATCCACGAACACACCAATGAATTAATCTTGCTGTGAACGTGGCTGGATATAAATGTTTACATCTTTTACACTGTAAATATTAACTTTTTTGCAGTATTGCAATTGCTTTTTGTCCAAACTATCATTATTAGGATATTAACGTTAGTGCTAGCGTTAAAATTAGTGATGTTAAAATTTTGTCCGATCCAGTTTAATACTTGATACCTTAAACATAAAGCCTTTTCGAAACCTCTAGATTAAAAATATGTATACGTAATCTTAAATAATGTTTATTATATAGTACAACTTTTACATTTTGTATTTTTCGTACTGCCTGTGACAATACCGTACTGATAACAATAAATGACTGCTAAGATTAAAAATATCTAGATAGAGCTGGTGAGTATTTTAAGAGGTGGATGGCTTAACCCGCGAAATATGGTATTCACTTTGATGTTATTTGGCCATCTAGTAGAAAAAGACTATTTTTACGGAGAAATTATACATTCTAATGGCTCTTAAAAAGAGAGAGGTAATAAATGTGTTTCAGAACTAATCACACAGAATCAAATTCTTTAAGGAGAATCCGTTAGGGTGAAAGTTAAAGTGAATCAATTTACAACAAGCTTTCCTCATATATTGATATCAAATTTCGACACATGAGCAAGTCTTAAACCTGTAATTGATTCTATGTTAGTAATGAAATAAATTCAAACAGTTAATTTTTTTAATAGTTAATTATTTGGTTAACTTGAATGTAAAAAAATTCGAAATTGTACAACAGCTTTGCTGATATCAGGATTCAAATTATGACCTTTAATCCACGTTTTGACTTGACTGTATATGATTCTTTTTAGGGACAGGAGCATCTTTGCTTAACAAAGTTGTTAGAAACGCCATATCAGGAAAAATTTGCTAGTAAACACCATCTCACAGAAGAACGCTCAAAATTAAACAAAGATTCTAAAGACTTGTTCATTTCACAATTTTTTTTTTCTGAGTGAATGAATGAATAATTCAATTAGGACCAAAAATTTAGCATTGAAAGAAAGAATTCATTAAATTACGTATCCTTTGCAACTTGTGTTCTTGGAATTAGAACGTGACTTTTAGTTAAGATTGTTAGGCAAATTTGCCTGCAAACACTTCTTCGGATAAAGCCCAATACTTAACCTTTCCATATGTAAGTGACGTTGCATTAGATACTAATATGACCAAATTACTGTTACTATTTTCTACCATTTTTTTTCGGAAGTCGAAATCTGAGATAGTCTATTAAGTTTCTTGATGCGTGAGAATTGCGAGCTAGTGAATTTACGTATTTCTTACGAAATATATGTATAATTATGAGATCATGAAAACTTGGCAATCATATTTACACAACATTTGCGACAAAATTAATTCAAAAGCCTATGGATAAAATGATATTTAAAAACAGTGTATTTTCTCTAAAAATCAAAAAAGATCAAGATCCCATTTATTTGAAATAAATTTATTTTTTACCAATAACGATAAAAAAATGACTGAAGACAACTTGTGCTTAATGAAATCTTGGTGCGTTCTTGAACGATTCATGATGTTTTCATTAGACTGTTATATACTTTTAATACTTCATTTTCATATTTTATTTAAAAGCTATGAAAGTGCGGCCGCGTGTTACGTAAGTATTTGTCGAAAAATATATGCTCATGCATGAAATAATGTAATCATATTATTAAAATCGACCATTATTGTTTGCGAGTAGGATTGCGCTGAAAGATCTGGAGATAGTGAAGGTTGCGCAAATCAATGCAGGATTAATGCAGGTTACTTATACACGTTTCTCCTTAGAATCAGATAATATATTGTTTGTAACATTTTTTGTTCTTTTTTTTTTAAAAAAAAAGAATTGGCCGGCGTTACCGCAAGATTGATATCCTTGAAAGCTCCTGAAGTGAATGCTCTTATGAATCTTGTTATTGAATCTTCTCAAAAGTGTGCAGATAATTGGTATTCATTATTTGCTCAAAAATATTTATATGATTTGTTTATATTTTACATAACTGTTAATGGCTTTACTTTGTTATATTTATAGTTCTCAGGTATAATAATATCAACATTAAACAAGCAAAACCTTTGTCAACTTTTTCAGTCATCAATAATTCTCGTATATTTTTATTTTAGCACAAAAATGATCATTGCCAAGCTTGTGCTGCAGCTGCACGTAGCCTGGGTGATAATTTGCGAAATCGTCAAGCGCGCACAGCTGCCTAACTTGATTCATCTTTATTCTATTTCATGTATTTTCTTTTGCTTTCCTACGCTTATTCACTTTCTATCATTTAATAGCGTTATTTAGTTCATCTTTACATTGTGATTCTTTTTCTGTCTTTTGCTTGACACATATTTGACAATATTGTTGCTGATGTCAATTTGAGATTTAGTTGTCAATAAACTTGTAAATTTTTTAATGATAATCAATTTTGTGTTTGCGTAACATAGATTTTTGTGAAAAAATTTCATCATAAAGATAAAATTTCTTTACGTAATAGTTAGTGTGTGTGTATATCTCATGGATGAATTTGTACATTGGTTACATGAAAACGGGGCAACTTTTCCTAAAGTTAGGTTTGGCAAAGGTGAATTTATTAAACTTTAACAGACTTTTAATTCATTTCATCAATCAATTATTATGATGAATGCAAAATTCCGGATCTTACATATATAAATATATATATTTTTTCGCTCTTAATTCTTATACAAAGATGAAAGTGGAATGGGTGGCTGTTATGCCGTGCAACCGATTCATCCAAATGAAATAATTGCCACACTTCCTTTAAATCTAACAATATCCCATAAACTCGCTCGTGAATACTTACCAATTCTAGCACCACTTAGTTGTCGTGCAGCGCTTGCTACATTTTTAGTTCATGAACGGCTTCTTGGAAAATTGTCTTTTTATCATCCGTATATCAATATTTTACCAAAGCATATACCCACTCCTTTGACTTATACGGAACGAGAAATGTCGTGGTTAAGAGGGACAAATCTCGGTTATGGCATTGAGAGTAGGAAAGAATTGTTGAGGAAGGAATTTGATGAGATTTTAGAAATTGTATCAAATGATGAACTCATTAATGGGTTATCATGGTAAGTTATATATATATACATCTATAAAGATATATATATATCGATATAGGTATTATATTTATATTTATATAATTTTGATTTGTGTATATAGGGAATTATATTTGTGGGCATGCGATATAATATCATCGAGATGTTTTCCAAACAAATTAATTGATCCAGACGATACTGAAGTAAAGGAAGCTTTATTTCCATTAATTGATTCTTTTAATCATAAACATCGACAGAAAATTACTTGGGAAGTCCATGAAAGGAATGAGTTACGCTTAGTTGCTGGTAATTATATGGATTCCGGTCAGCAGATATATAATAATTATGGTGCTAAAGTAAATTCTTATTTTTATTCCCTATTTGTAATTTTTGAATAAATGAACGTTATGCTCATGATTAATATAATTTTTCATTTTTTTTCAAATTGGGGTTAAAGTCCAATGAAGAATGTAAGTGCGAGATTAATAAAACTCTTAATAACCCTTTTTTTTTGATGTTCAAACTTATTATCAATGATTAATTTTCAAATAGTATTAGTAGGTTACGGGTTTTGTATTCCTAATAACCCTGATGACTGGGTAGTGATTAAAGTAAACATTTCGCAAGATCCTCAATGTGATGAAAAACTAGATTTTTTATCAAGTCTAGAACTTTCTGAACTTACTCATTTTATTAAAAGAGATTATATTCCTTTAAAATTATTATCTCAATTACGGGTGCTTGTAATGAACTCTGCAGAGTTAATCCATTTTAAAAAATTACAAGAACTTCAATGTATTAATATAAATGAGCCTATAGGATATCGAAATGAACTTGCAATGTTAGAGACTTTTTCTAATTTGTTAAAAATGAAATTGGAGGTTCTTTATGGTCGGGACGAAGAATTTATTGGAATAAGTTCTGCGAGAGAATCTGAGATTGCAAGAAATTGTAAAATATATATTGATGGTAAATTAAACTTGATTCTGTTTGAATATAAAATATATCGGCTTAAATTTAATCGAATCACGTTTTGTATTAATTTTAGGACAAAAGGAAATTCTTACAAGTGCACTTGCAATTATTCATTCCAAAGAGTTAATTATTCTTAAAGCAGCATTAAATGATTCCAAATTTACTAGAATTCCAACATTACCCTTTGTTTGCAACAATATTAACATTGATTATAATAGCAATAACACATCTTTTAACGACATCAATCCAATAATCCTCGCTAAAGATGATTTATTAGATTTGTTGTTGATTACTATTGATAAAGTAATGAAAATTGATAAAAAATTTTCGAAAGCTATTAATGAAATATTTAGTGAAGAGTTGATAGACAGTGAACAAGATACAATCTTGATACTTTATTTAATTTATGAAAGTCAATATATTGAAAAGTCTGAATGGAAGTTATTTTTTGAAGTTGCTATTAAATACGATGATTTTTATATGTAAGAATTAATTGTAATTGAGTTTAACCTTATGAGATTGATTAATCTTATTAACATTGTTTTTTTTTTCTTCATGTTACATATAGACAAGAATACGAAGAAAAAATTCAAGAATTAACAGAATTATATAATGAATTACAACCACTTGTTTGTAATCCCGACGTTAAATTATTTGACAAAGATGTGTTTAGTATTGATAAATTAATTTGGTCAACATGTATTTTCGAAATATGCTCTGTCACTTTTACGAATAAAAATAAAAAGCAACATTTTGGAATTGTACCTTTGTAATTTCTTGTACAAATTAGTTTTTTAGATTAAAGTTTGTTAAATTACAGCAGTAGAGTAATAAATACTAAAAATAACAAGAACTTGTTCTTAAGATTTTATCTGAATGTAATTACAAAAAGCTAACGGTATGTATACACAATCAACTCACTAAACATTCAGCACTAAATATTAATCATAAGTGCCGTATTATATTTTGCTTACGATTGCAAATTGTGAATTTATTGATTAGTTTTTAGAGCTCGGTGTCATCTAAGTTTATGTCTGTGCGTTATTTTGAGTATATATGCGTCATTTAGAGTACACCCATGTGTGTTATTTTGAGATAAAGATTGCATGCGCGTTATTTTGGAGCCATGCAAGTTATAATGCGCGACACTTGAAGGCTACACTTGTGCCACTTTGAGATCGCTAACAGTTACTACATAGTAAAGTCAAAATTATGACATTATATATGCATTAAGCAAAGTTGTTCGAGGTCACTAGAAATCAGGATATTATTATTATAAATATTGAAAATAATAATATGCACTATTATTAAAAATAATCACGAGAGGTTTTTTATAAAGTTTATATATTAAAGATATTCCTAAAGGATAAGAAAAACATATCTCAGTTTGAAGCAGTCTCAATTTGAGGTATGTTCCTCAAAAATGTTACTACAGTATACCATCTACTCTAAATATAGCGTGCCAAAAATCAAGTCCTAACACGGTATCTGCAGTAAATATTGGTATGATTTGTTCAGCATCTTTACAGTATAAAATTCTTAAGAACGGGATACAAAATGTCAAAATTTTGCAAAGAATTCTTTTTTCATTAGTGTTTAAGGTAATTTCATAAAAAGGACATATGCACCCAAAGAAATCATGTGTCGAAAATTACATTGGTAAGAAACAGACTTAACGTCGTTAATTCCAGTTATAGTCATGATAAACTTAAATCCATGTGACTTAGAAATTTATTTAAATAACTCGAAAAAAAGTTTGGTCCAAAATACGCGAAAATAAAAAATGGCGCATAACATTCCACAGCAACCGATTCTGGCACATAATACCACACAGTCACCAATAACTCAGGCATTTATTTGGCTTGAGAAAGGTGGTGATATTTTCTTGAATCAGACTTTGGTATGTTTTTTTTTTTTCCTACGATAGATAAGATAGCAAACCTTTCTAATAATTTACTTACTGCTTAGGATTACGAATGTTTTTTACCTTATATATTGAGTTTGTATGATGATTCTCAGTTACAATTTCTAAATAGATATTTGCAGGCATGTCAAATATATTGTCATATAGACAATTTTAACATAAAAAAAGTCTAATAATTCTAATTATATACTAGATTGAAACTATACGCACGATTATGTCAGTTAATCAAAATTTAGTTATTCCTCATATTATCACAAATTTTTATCCAAGGCCTCCCTTAACGCCTACGGTAAGCTTTATGAACTATTAAATTACAACAATTAAATTTCACGAATGACAAATAAAACAAAATTTATCATTCTAGACAAATCAGGGCCCACATGTACAGTTGGTCAGCCATGAAGCTACATTAAGGTTAATAAAATATATCTAATTACAAAATTAAAAATGTCAATTTTCTCACACATTATTTTATGCACAGGGCGGTCTTGCAAGATATATATGATCTTGTAAAATCCGCAAATTTATTTTACGAGATGGGTCAGTCAAGGGTCAAGGAATATTGTGATTTTATAAAAGCAAATCCTTTGTTATTTAAATATTTACGGAGTGATATAGTGAGAAATTTGGATTTGGAATATTATTTGCCAATAATATTGTATACATGGGACCTTTCATCATTAGGAATTAATTATAAAGTATTATTCGATTTCATGATTTCAAAATACATATCCACTATTACTTGTATACCACATCTATATATGTTTTGTTTAATTGATTGCATTTATTCACATGCGGCTTAATTGCATAATAGGATTTTATTCGGGCATTAGTGCTTTTAGAAAATGGGTACATTTTAATCAAGTGTATGATGACTAATAATCCACAGATGTTTGAAGAGGTAACATTCAATTTTCACCTTTTATGATCAGTTTTCGCATAATATTAATGGCCCATATGTAATTAATTTGATAAAATATGTTTAGATTGCAGCAATGCTAATAGATGTCCATAACTATTTGCCATCTGATTATAAAATTCATCTCAGGTTTCTTTTTTTTTTTTTTTTGCTCCCAAAACTTATAAATAACATTTTTAATGAATCAATAACCTTATCCTATTAAAGGAATATATTGTATACTATGTGTGCATTAGCTCCACACCATACTTTTTTTGTGCGAATGAAGTTGACTGATTTAAAAATCTTACCTGAATTTGCATTGGAGTTGACGCTTACTTCTTGTGCCGATGTGGTGGGTATTTAAAGATCTGTTTCATCTAGAAATTACACTTTACAATTTGTTTTTAGCTCACAATGTATTCATTTTGTGTAGCCTTTATATTTGGCCGGAATCTTGTCACGTGATTCAGAATGGTTAAAATTCAACCAAATAAAGGCGGATACTATTAATACTTTGCAAAATAGGCTTATGACGACTTTGAAAAAGGAACTTGTAAGTAATTACAATTTGTGACAAGATTTACATTATGATCATGTGTATAAACAATGTTTATATATATCAGAGAGAACCAGTGATACCATTGACAGCTCATCGAAATAGGCTCTGTGTCCTTCTTCGTATTATATGCGGTTTAAATTATTATTTTCAATCCTATCTGAGCCAAGGCGATTTAGAAGCCTGCCTTCAAATATTAAACCATGCGGAATCAGACAGGTGATAAATATATCTTATTTAAATATTAAACTTTAAATCTTTCAATCTAAGTATATATTGTACACTTATTTTTGATGTAAAGGCTCAGGAAATTATATCTCTGTTTCTTATTACTATTCTGGCAGAGGATCGTGTCAGATAGCAGGGTAAAAATATGACCATTATGATAATGTCTGGTATTTTAAGGGTTGAATTAAATACAAATATTTCTCAATATTTAGATGCGTCCAACGTTCATGAATGCATTTTCCAAGTTAGTAAATCCGGGGAACCCAGATATATATTTGATTTTCGCATATTTGTTCAATACAAATCAGTTCGATCAAATACAAGAGATTTGTCGTGAAACATTAACACTAGATGTAGTAATTGGTAACTTTTTAAATTATCAATTTTCTTTGATAATATATCAGACTTTATTTTGATTATATGTATTCTTAATAGCATATCGACTTTTCAGCTCCATTAGAGAATGGTTCAGAAACCTTTATCAGATCCCAGTTTAAAGAAGACATATTGGCAAAATGCGCATTGGAAATTGATCCGATGACTTCTTTTACTGGATTAGGGGTATTGTTATTTATTTATTTCTTTATTTATTTATTAGGATTTAACTGCAATAAACTATTTCAAAATTAACCTGTCATGTATTCTACCTAGTTATCTAAGGTACCACAAGATATTGCCTTTGAGGTTTTCTATGTTATGCTGACTGGAGGTGTATTTCACAAAGGCCGTGTTGATATTCGATCTTGGATATGGCGACAAATTTTGCAAGCAGAAATTCCGATACATGTCAAACTTGGGCCCTTATTGAAAGCATATGTTCGCAGGTTAATAAATATTTCTAAATATTTTGTAGCCATCGTTAATAGTTCGTGTATAATAAGAGTTTTTCTTTTTTTAAAAAAAAAACAAAAAGTATCTTTGAGGATCATTTATATCGGTCACCAATGACTAAAATACCAGAGGATAAGATATTTAATTTCTTCCTAGAAAGTATTACAAAAGTCACCCCAGCGCACGTTCTTATGACGTATTATGTATTGATTTTTAATGATTTTGCTAAAGATAAGAAACTGAATCATGCCCAGAATTCGGATCAACAAAAAATAGGTAGATCATTGTTGTTATTTGCATGGTTCTTTGTTTATCAAGAATTTATTATGAATTGTGAAGTTTAACCATCATTTAGCTTATTCACCCAAGTTGACTGAATTAATTTCCGCAAGAAGAATTTTAGTCGAGGCAGAAAAATGTGACAATGGTTATGCTTATCGTAATATTTATCCTGAACTCCTTGGTCTTATGGCTAGTAACTATCCGGAGATCTTTGACATTGAAAGTTTCCTTATCGAGGAGGATCGTGAAACGTATATTTTTACTTTCAAGTTTTTTTGATGACATATTTCAAGCTTTGCAATTATTCATTTATTTATTATTTTTAGTCGTATTCCACTTAACAATAGTGATTATGTTGAAAATATTGTAATGTCAGCGATAACTGAATTAGAAGATTCAACAGAAAACGTCTTAGGTAATATTTAAACATAAGTTCTAAATTTACGTACGCAACTATAATATATAATATACTTTTTTTTTAAAAAAAAAAATAGCATTAAAAAAGCTAGAAGCAATCGCGCCTGAATATTTACTTGTGCAGTCAGATTCTCTTATTCTATCTCTATTACCCAAGTTATTAAAGCAAGAGTACGTTATAAATTGAATTAACATGATTTAAATGTCAATTACTTGTTGATTGTAAAAAATTTTTTTTCATTTTCATTTATAGACAAGACCCCGTAATACTGGATTCAATATATAGAATCTGGTATTTGTTATATTCTATTCATCCCCATAAAGCTGCTTTATTATTCATAAATGCAGTACGAAGTGAAGAAGATAGGAGTGCAAGGTATTTTTTAATCAGTTATGGGTAGTAATTGTTAATAATGTGTATCTATTTAATTGAATTTTCACAATAAAAGCTTCTTAGAGCGAGATGTTATGCTTGATCCGCTTGTTATGTTTCGTTGTGATAGTCAAGTGTTCCGATGTCCACAAATATTTCAGATATTTTTAAAGGTAATCAAAGGAATATTTAAATTGAATTCATAATTTTAAATTTGATCACATAATCTCTAGCATTTTATGACAGGTCTTGAAATTTTACATGGTTGGATCACGTCTTAGATTACGACGTGCATGGCAAGATGAACTTACTAATAAAGTAATTGCGATGTTTGTCATTATATACAACTTGTTATAATATCAATGTATAACATTAATATATATTTATCTACAATAATTTATTTACGCAGGAAGCCTTTCCTCCGAATAAGCTTAATTATATGATTAGTAGTCAGGAGACACTTTTATTGTCACTCTTAATGAAAGAATGCGAAACCAAGCCAACTGATTTGCAAAATCCTGGTAAGCATTTGATTTATAATTGACTATTTTTACTTGTTTAAATAAACTATCACAAACATATATATACACATATTCACAGGCACGTTGGATAAAATTCGAACGGCGGCATTTCGTTTCTTTCATCACATGTTTATCGAAAACTTGGAATCATTGAGGAATTTACATTTTTTAGGTTATGCGACTGAATTGATTCCCTTGACAACTCGTAAAATCGAATCTATGCGTACGTTTAATAGTTTTTCGATACCAAATCAATTTAACAAGTTACTAATTGTAATATGCAATGCTTAGATCTTTGTGTATTTTGGGCGCACGAATTAATATCACACGAAGATCCAAAAAAACAATTATTTGGTCTGTGTTTGGCAGGTCAATTGTGTGAAGTTTGGCCAATGCCTTTAACGTAAGAAAAGTTTTTATGTTAGCATTTGATAAATTCATTCTTTATTTTTAAATGCATTAAATATCACGTATACTTTTAGGTTTAAGCTTGCTAAGGACCACATTATACCGACGATTAGACGTAAAACTCTCGAAATACCCGAAAATGTTTTATCCGAAGAGGGTAAAACTATCTTACCTATATTAGTTCGATTATATAATGTTTTTAATAATTTGAGGGAAGAAGTTGTTGCACTGCTACGAGGTACGATTTAAAATATTGCTCATGAAAGTTGTCAAAATCTTACCATATTAATTCATTTATTAGGACTTGAGGACAAATTCAGTTCATCAAAGGGTTACGCAACTACTCTTGGTGCAAAACGTAAATCACAAACGATCGTTTCTGAATTATTAACGTCCATTAACAAAACTCCGAAAAGTACCAAGATGGATAGAGTTAGAGAAATTTTACCAGCATAAATTATTTAAACATCAATATAAAAAATAATAATAAATGTTGTTTTAAAACCATTTTAGATATCAAATTTCGTTGATTAACCTGAATTAAGTAAATTTCACAAATTTGTCAATTAATCTTGTAAAAGCTTTTAGCATTCTTTGATGCTTTGAATGAAAGTAAAGATTCAACAATAAAATAATTGGTCTTGCAGGGTCTAGAGTCGTCAGTGACATAATACCTTGGTCATGGCGAGTTTAATAATATGATTCTTTTGCTTCATTTGTATTCCATATCGATATTTGCATAAGTCAAATGTTGTTACATCTTGCTAGGATCATGTATATCTCAGATTTCTTATCTGTAACTAATTCTAATTACCACCAGATAATAGTTTAGAAAAATTAGAATAAACTTCTTAGGTTTTTGGCTAAACAAAGACGGCGAGAATAAATTAAAGAATTTTAAGTTCATAGAATACGTTATCCCTTATACCGTTTTGCAGATGCAAATTATCATGATTTGTCTATGATCGAACTACCAAACTATATTGGATTGAGTCTACATAAAGTTCATTTTAATGATAGTAGGGAATAATTTGATAATCAAACCAATAATTTGAACTGAGATGATACGTATCGATATGCACCTGAAAGTGTTATTATAATGTATAATGAGTAATACTAAGGAAAGTCACATGCCAGATGGAGTGCCTAAACACAAATAAAAATTGCGAGTTCAATTGAGTCACTATACTTATAAGCTAAATTTGAACGTTTAACTATACATATCATCTAACTTTCGAATTACAGTCAAACCTCTATAATCACACCCCTCGGGATAAATATTTGTGTACTTATAAAAAGATTTTTACTAAGATGTGCTTATAAAGAGGTTTTTTAATATGCTTATATATAAAGCAACCGGAGGTATAATGGCGCGGTTAAGAATAGTTATTAGTAAAAAGTTTTCAAAAAAAGATATTTATTTATAAAATTTATAAGATTTATATTTCATCCAATGTACTTTAAATTAATCATAAAAAAAAGATGGATTTTGCTAGTAATTTTTACATTATTTTATTATTTACATTTGAAGGGTATGTGGCAGATCATCCCTAGTGATAAATTAACCCAACATTACTCAACATTATGTAACTTAATCAAAAAATTAGCAAAACCATCACACAAATCACTTAACAGTAATATTTTTAGATATCTTATTTTTTTGATTATTACTTGTTTTTGTGTCTTTTTTATTTCATACTCAGCTTTCTTTTGAACAGTTATTTTTTCTTTTAGTTTTCTCAACCTTTTTTGTTACTAAATTTTCTGTTTCTTTTAAGTTTTTAATACTTCATCATTAATAAAAAGTTGGGTGAATGGTAATGTTTTTCTTTTTTTTAGTTGTTGTAAAGCTTCTTCAGTTTTATTATCATTAGTCATAAGTTGAAGTTAAAAAAAGCTGAAATTATTGAAATCAGCATTGTATTTTTAGTTTTATCAAGTTTCTATATAAGATACAGACAAGATCTTTTTACAAAATATATTTGTGCATGGTTGAGATGTAGGTTTTCATACGATCTAGTTATTTTTAGCATAAATTAAATATGCATATTTTCAATTACAGATCAATTGTGAAAAAATTCTTAACTCAGTATCGTGCTTATAAAAAAAAAAGCATGTACTTATATATGTATACATATTTAAAGATCAATCTAATTAATAAAAACTGCATAACTGGTGTATAGCAATACTCTTAAATTAATTGCTAAAAATAACAGGATGTAACAGATATATTTAGATCTAAAAACTACTTGTATGCATAGCCACAAGAAATTAATCAGAAATATAAAGATTTATCTTTATCTTATGTTTAAACCTGATAGATTCATGTAATGTTTTATAATATAAATTATTAAACATATTCGATATTGTATTCTTTTATATTAATGTAATTACAATAGTATACCAATTTTAACTAAATATGTGTAATAATTTAAAAGACCAGATTTTATAGTAAAAATAATAAAATGCATTTTATGATTCCTGTTATCAATGAAATATGCAATAAAGTTTTATCAGCATTAACTATTGATTAAAAAAAATATGTTTCGCATTTTTCAAGAAATCCCAACACTCTAGACTTTAATCGTCATCTTCAACTGTTTAAATATACAGAAAAATAAGATTGACAATACGTTAATAAATAACCTGATGTGTAAAAATCAGAGCAACACCAACATTGATAAAAACATGATCACTATGTTTTAAAGACCAGAAATCATAGATATTTTTTTGGAAAAAGACTGGTCATAAAAACATGTTTTTTGCCAAAGCCAGAAAAATACGAACTTTTAAATAATACTAACTTGAAATATCTGAAATTTTAAGATCTATTTGTTTGGAATCTAATAAAATTTATTAATGATCAGATAAATTTATAAACACTGGTTTTTTTAAGAAATTAAATAACATTAATCTAATAAATTATTAGTATTTGGAAGATTTAATTGAATGGATTGAGTGTACTCTAAATGAATATGTTCATTTAGTTTCGGTTGTATGTAACATATCACATGTAACGTATTCTGAAAATAACAATAAAATCCCAAGCCAAAGAAGGTCATCTTAAGATAATAATAAGAATAAGAAAAATAATAATTCCTTGAATTTGTCGTGTGTTAATAATTTTACAAGTATTCATTGAATCTTGATGCTTTTATTCGATAACTGGTAATGTGTTTATAATTTTATCAGCAGCTAAGAATTTCTCTTTAATACCAAGTTTATCGGGTTTTTAGTATAATAAAAAAAAACTCCATAAGTGAAAAAGCTTTGAGCTAATTACATTTGCAGTGGGTCGTTTCTGCGGATCTTGATCCGTACACTTTTCAGCTAGTTTGGTGTAACATTTTGGAGTTCCAGGTGCAAACTCTGGACGTTCTCCCCCGCAGATTCTTTAAGCAAGTTTAGTATCAAATTCATGACCATCAAAAGGTCTCTGCCCAGATGATATTTCTGCCATAATAATGCCTAATCCATAAATATCAGCTGCTGGTGTATAAATTCTATCTGATAATACTTCAGGTGCAACATAGGGCATAACCAAAAATTTCTTCTTTTTGATTATTTTCTTCGATTTTCTTAGATAATCCAAGATCTGCAATGTAAGAAAATATAGATCCACCAATTTTATTTTGCAAAATATTTCCGCTATGAAAATCACTATGTGTATATCCTGCCTTGTGAATTTTTACTAAACATATGATATATCCATAAGTTGCGATAATTTACCTTTCCATGTAAGTTCTTTGAATTTTTTTTTTAAACACTTATTAAGACTTCCATTATCAGCAAATTGAAGCACCATCATCAGATAATCGCCATCCTCAGGTTTAAAAAGTTCATAATTTTTTGTACGCTTAGTTAATCCATATATCCCTAATTCACTAACAATTAATCAACATTGCACATGATTTTTAAACTTATTAAATTAATATTTTGTTTAATAAGTAAAATACTTAAATTTAAGGTGAAAAAAAACATTTAGCATACTTCTTTTAAATTTGACAATGTTTTAAGCGCAACCGTAGATGGTCCTTTGCGTGACTTTTCATAGCTACCATTTGTATATTCAGTTACTCGTATGCCATCCAACCAAATTACCGAATATACTGAGCCAAAACCCCCTTCGCCAATTTTTTCAATTTTGTCTAGTCTGTCAAATGGATCCATTCAATAACATCGTCATACTTTATAGCTTCATGTTGAAACCTTTAATACAATCTTTAATAAGATCAACGTCATCACTATTTGACCATCCTTGAACAATTATTTCGGGATCGCACATCTGGCACCAGGCAAAAAACGTTTACAACTTCCACATGTTCCATAATAAGATTTACTGTGAATTAATAATTAATTGGTTTTTATGACATTAGGTATTTAAATACTTTCGCAAAATAAATCACATGCAATCTCAATACTGTCTGTACGCACCGCCTAGTTTTAGCAAATAACAGATAGAAAGAACAATGAATAGAGAATAATTATATTTCGTTGTGATAATAAAACATAGAGATTATTTATATATATATATGAATAAAATTCAACACTTACTCTCTGTTGATTTAACACATAGCAAAGAGGATAACAGATAAAAGATAGAAGAATAGAGAAATATTAATTAATTAATAGAGAATTATATTTTGTTGTCAATAAATTATGTATTATTAAATTCTACATTTACGTCCTGTTGATTTAACACGTAGCAAAGAGAATAACAGGTAACAGATAGAAGAATAGAGAAAGATTAAATAATTAATAGAGAATTCTATTTTGTTGTCAATAAATTATGTATTATTAAATTCTACACCTACTAACAGTTGATTTAACACGTAGCAAAGAGAATAACAGATAGAAGAATAGAGAAAGATTAATTAATTAACAGAGAATTATATTTTGTCAATAAATTGTGTATTATTAAATTCTACACTTACTTTCTGCTGATTTAACACATAGCAAAGAGGATAACAGATAACAGATAGAAGAATAAAGATTAATTAATTAATAGAGAATTATATTGATCAGTTTTGTAGATCTAAAACAATTATTACCGCCTATTAACTTCATTACTGGCTTGTAATGCCCATTTATTATCTGTTTATTTTTAATAAATTTTTTAATATAAAATAAGTTTCTCCGCAATATCTTAATGCACATGCATTGTTTGGCTCAATCTCTAATATTTTTTTTAAATCGGCAAGCGCTTTTTCATATTTTCCCATAATAAAATAAGCCTTTACACTATAGCTTAATGTAACCATATTTTGGTCAATTTTTGATGACTTTATAAAATTTTCAATCATGTCTTTATCTTCGTTATTGCATTGTTTAAGAGCTTTAATCCATTTTTCTTTCAATTGATCATCATCAATATCATCATCGGTTATTGCTATTCGTGAAAGTAACATTAAAATAAATTTCAAAAAAAATCAGACATGTAATAAATAAATATGTAA